TCAGAAGAGAGGAGGCTCTGAGCCTCTCTTCTGATTGGCTGACTGTTTTCTGACTGATCCAATAAAAATAAAGCAGATTTCAGGTAAAAACACTCAGAGAAACCAAATCCTGCAAGGTTTGGATGGTGGGTCCAGGTGGGCGGGGCTTGGTGACTGCTTTGTTGTGACATCACAAAGTTCCAGAAGTCCTGACGGCTGGTTTTAAGGCTCAGTTTCTGAATACAGGCTGTGTGCATTTCTCTGTGGACTGAGGCTTTGATACTTTCACAGTATTAATATAGAAGCTAGAGCTGATCTATAATCACACTACACATGGACACACACCTTTACACTGGAGGAGCTTTAAAGACACTGACTATAGGAGGACAACCAGCCTGTTGTGGAGGAACCAGACCTCCCTGTTGCCTGTTACCTCCATTATTGCAACTTCCTATTCACACATATACACATACACGTCCTTGTACCTGCTGCACATACAAACACTTGCATACATTTATAGTACAGTAGCTAGCCACGAGAAAAACCCATCCCCCGTCTGACAACTTCACCTCAGGACTGATGAGACAAACTGCTCCATACAGACTGCTTACGTCTGTGTCCACAGTGTTGAGAGAAGCCCACTGTCTCAGGAATCATTCCACGCAGTTACACCTCCATCAGCAACTCGTTCGTCATTCCTGAGTAAGACTGGAGCGTCTGTGGAGCCAGAACAATCCAGTCCTTTTAGAGACCAGTGCTGAATCTCCACCTCCACCACTCTCCTGCTGGCATATTGTCCTCTCTGTTGGGTGTAATTGTAACTCTGCACCCTTCCTCCTCTGACTCCCACCACATGCTAAAATTTCCCCACGGTGATGGGAAAATTACAATCCAGCAGTTGGGAAGGGGTAATTCCTCTGTCTGTGATCTCCATTGTGCAACCGGACCACATATGGGTAGTTATACATGTGTCAAGTGGGTGCAGGGCCATGTTAAGTGATGTTGTTGAGGCCGGCAATTTACACACAATTACCTCAATTAGCTTCAGCTACAGCTCTGGACAGACGAGGACTCAACTTTACATTGTTTCTACGCTGCAGCTACGATTCCTGCCAGAGAGAAACCGACCGCTGCGACATCTACAAGTCGACTTTCTCTTATTCAGAGACTCGTGTTCTTTTACAGCCTCTCATCATCACGTCCCCCAACATGAAAAACAACTTTTCAAATGCAAAAAGCAAGTGGCAAATTTCCTGTTTAAGTACAGTCTCAGTTACAATCCTCCAGAGGAGTGTTTGCCCACGCTTTCTCAACAGGAAGTACAAGACATCTGAGTGGGCAAAACCCACAACACTTTGAGGAAGGCTCGTTTCTCCTTCTCTGAGCGTCTCCCATATGGAAATACAATAAAAAGAGAAAGGTAAATTAAATCAGCAAGTGCATAACCACCAAAAGACTCAATCCACTCCTGATTCCAAGAGTATTTATCCAGAGGAGTCAGCCTTACTTCCCATAAATGTAAGTCACAGTGCGTCGCCTCTTCGTGGGAGACATGAAGCGAAGATGAGTATTCTCTACAGCGTCTCATCCTCAGATCTGACTAACTCAACACCTATCTGATCTGGATCGTTCGGTGTCAGACTCGCAGTGCTGTCCCAGTGTCGTCGTCCGTGCAGCAGCAGCAGCAGCAGGATCCAGCATGCCATTAGCTCTGCTTTCAATCACACAGCTACAGTATTAGTCACAAGTTTATAAGCTGCAACAGCACACCCTGAAAAGACAACGAGGGGGCTGAGAGTGGAGATAACAGGCGAGAAAAAGACGTCCTGATTCTGAGAGATATCTTTGTGCTCTTTGTTATTAACTAGTTTAATGGATGAAATGCACATTTTTACACGTAAACTCAAAACATACCACTTCAGCCTGGCTTTTCATTAAATATTTCATACATTTTAGTCACTTTATTTTATCTATTCTTTTATTATTGTATCTTATTCTATCATTAATATTAATATATCATTCTTTTTATCTCATCAGTCTGTGAAGCTCTTTGAACTGCACAAACCTGTATGAAAAGTGCTGTACTAATAAATTTGATTGATTGATTGATTGATTGATTACAACAGTACGAGTTGCTGTATTCACCACTTGATGCGCATACTGTCTGATGGCGTATCAGGTTCCCTCCATTACTCTCAGGCTGACAGGAGAGACCTCAGGCGGGGATCTCATCTCTGCTTCAGCCGCTCATTCAATAAAAACAACAACTACTCACAGCCGTCAATATGTTGATTTGCCATGATGGGTTTATAATTGGACGTCAACAATAGTGGACATCAGGCAGACAAAGAGAAAAGTTAGCTGATGTTAGTCGCACGGTCTTCTGTAGCCGTGAGAGGAAGAGTCAGAGCTCCACTTCACTTCTGTCAAAATCTTTTTGTAAATAAGATCGTTAAAGAGTTTTATCAGGTGTTGTTACACAAGCTACAAATTCATAAACCAGCTTGTCTAATTCTGTTTCCCAGTTTCATGATGAGCAACATGTCATCTCTCCTGCTCTGTGATAAATGAGTGGTTCATTCGGACATTTCTGTAAACTCGCTGGCATTTCCTCCTCTCTCCTCGTCTGCTTTGATCCACTGACGTGTTCCTCTAGATTTTCTCCAAGTGGAGACAGAGAGCGCTCGTGTCTGAGAAGTTCACAGCCGAGACAAACTGTGTGGCATATGTGGCCCCCTTCAACCAAACCAGCTGCCTCACACGCAGCATCGCCACGGACTCGGTCAATAAGGGGCGAAAGATGTGGTTGCCTGTAGCAACCGAAGAACCAGAGAGATAGTGGACGGAGAGGGATGGACATAGACAATGTGATGGGCAAGTATACATACATACACACACACACACACACACACACACACACACACACACAGTCCAGGGATGAGCAAACAACCCAGTGGAACAACACTCAGTGAGTCAGTGCCTGCATGATCCATTAGTAACTCCCAGCATGCACACACACACACACACACACTCGGAGAGAAAAACCCACTGACCCACACAACAACAACCCTGAGACCTTTGTTCGCACAGTGTCAACACGCTAAACACACCGATACAATTACAGTACGAGTGCTTTATGCCGTGGTGATAGCAGCATGAAGTCGTTTCAGAGCATCGTGCAGAGTTGGACAGACCAGATTAGATCTCTCTGGGCTCTCTGCCAACCGACGAAGGCAGCATCCCTTCAGTTTACCTACATGTCTGCAGTCAGACTGTTCATCGTCATGACTCGCGGTAACCTGACTTTTAAATCTCCCGCTCCGACTCCAGAGGCCACAGGTGAGTCCAGAGTCAGTGTGGAAAAATCAACTTACAATAAAAAAGGTCCTGCAGGAAATTTCAACCAACATCAGCTGCGTCTGTGTTTACACTCATCCTCTTATACGACATCAGCCTTTAACCTGGCTCCACATCATGGAGCTGTAAACCTGGAACTTTCATTATACATCATTTATTATTCATGGAGTTGAAGGACCAAACATCTGCTGGTTTCAGCCTCTCACACGTGACGGTTTGCTTGTTTTTCTTCTGATGCATGAATTTATCATTATTGTTTTTACATTTTATTGACAAAACTATTAATGAATTTATTAAAAACATGACTATAAAAAATGAAAATGTATTGTTGCAGCCTTGCAGGGTCTGTCCTCTGGGCAGCACTGCACTACACTGGTTGACAGGAATTAGCATCAGAAAGGTACGACCAGCCGCCCCTCTGCCCCCAGTCTCTAAATACCCCCCCCCCATGCTGAATAATGCAGGTGGGGTGGAGTGGAGCAGTCAATAATTAAGTGGATCCATTGGTGTGGGAGGATGGCACTCGTTTACCGTGTAAAAGATAAGTGGTCCAAGAGAGCTTAGGTGTCAGAGGGAAGAATTAGCGCAGCGTCCTCTTACTTCGCCCCGCACCTCAAACACAGCCCATCCTTGACCCTCCATTTTTATTTATTTTATTTATGTAAAACATGATTTATTATTTATTTAAACTGATTTAAATCTCCTTCACATACACTGTATATACTTTACATCATGTCATACAGTTGAGTTACATAAAGATTGTGTTTTTATTTAAAATCAAAATAGATTTATAGATTTATTGTGATGGAGCGTTAGAATTTAATTTAAAGAAAATATATATATTTGCAATAAATAATGTGTAAATGATGAATTCAAAATCTGTAACAATAAATAAAATAGATCTAATGAATTTAGAGTAATTCATCATTGGTTAATCTGCAAATTATTCTCTCGATTAATAGATAAATCAATAATTTAGTTTATAAGTTATAAACAACAGCAATAGTATAGGCTACCACCATTCACTATAGTTCAGAGCTCAGATGCTTCAATTTGCATGTTTTACAAATAATCTTCACATCATAGACACTGAAGAGTTTCTGCCTGAATAATAAACTGTTAACTGATTATCACAATAACTGCACATTACTTTTCTGTTAATAAACTAATCGATTAATCGACTAATCATTGCAGCTCTAATTGAGTTGCAATTAGGTTGCACTACTTTGAAGATAAACACTTAAACTTATCAAAGCAACAGGTTTTAGCAAGTTTTCTGTTGCAGAAAATGTCTGTTTCTGAATGCAAATAAAGATGGAGTCAGTGTGTAGGAGTCCTGGGTCTTACTGTGTGAGAGGTGAAGAGGTAAAGACCGTTATTACTGTCACTGGACATCATCAGGATCTATAGGAACCCACTGGCCAACACACTTCTCCTCTGAATGGCCCAGCAGCAGGTAAACACAGCGCTCTGCTGCTGCTACAGTCAATCAGTGCCTTGCTCAGGGACACCCCAGCCTTATGTTCATGCAGCTGAAAGAGCCCCCCCACCCCCACCCCCCCCTCTCCTATCAACAAACCACCCAGGCACCAGTGTGAAATCCAAATCCAGACATCCATGTAAGTAAAAGACAGACAAAGAGTCGGGGGGGGGGGGGGTCTTACCTTGCTCCTGATCTGCCCGGAGGTGGACACTTTCCGGATCAGTTTCTGGGGGCCTTCCTGCTCTGCCTCGGAGTCGGAGGACTCGTCTGCAGCACCGGAGCCGGCGACAGCGCCCACCACATGGGCATGGATCCCCGCCGCGGACGCCGGCCCTTTCTCCGGCTCCTGTCGAGGGGAAGGATAAAACCAGTCGGGGTTAGCCTTCGCCCGGTCCGCCGCTCCCTTCCTCTCCGGGAGGCGAGAGCTGCCGAGCGGCTGAGACGCGTCTCTCCTCGCCGTCATGTCTCGGTGTCTCCGTGATGAGCGCGGCTGTGTTCGCTGGAGTGTGTGTGGGCTGGTAAACGCATAGGGGATGTAACATGTCGCGGTACAGCGCGGACGGGCTCCACGACGTATAAACCCACCCCCCACCTCCTCTCCCCGGCCCCTGCTTGGCTGACGGTTATGGCTCCAGCCTACACAGCCAGTCCGGGCTAGAGACCGCCTCATCCACTCCGTCAACCGGCGGACATGTCCGTGGCATGGCAGACCCTAGCGGCTGCTTCACACCAACACTGCAGCCGAGCGGCGGCACACGAACTAATATCACCATAAACTACTTCATTTAATTTAAATAACCTGCAGTGGTGCTAAAACTATCGAGCAGGTGGTTAACATTAAAACTAATGTCACAATGAATCAATAAAATCAGCTCATATTTGGCTAATGATGCTACAACCAACAATAATGTTCATTAATCTCATTATAGTATTTCTTCACTCTGTTAAATAAATATGTGTATAAAGGAATAAACTGTACTGAGGCTAAAGTTTTGGATTTGTTTAAACAAAATATTACAATTACATTTTTTTTTTACAAGCTCCTAATTAGTTTTAATTAGTAAATCTTAGTCTAGATGTAAATGTGCGACTAGATTTTTAAAATAATTAAAATGAATTTCCATTCTGCGAGAAGGAAGAAATAGAACCTGGATTTTTATAAGGAAATTGACAGGAAAGAAAAGAAGAAAAATAAGAAGTCACTCTTTTCATCTGAGAATAAACACAACCACACGCAGTGTGTTGGCCATTAAACCGAGGAAATCGCATTACTTTATGTAACACCGTCAGTATTTGTGTTGTTTTCAGTACAACCAGCTCTTATAAAGACATTAACACGGTATAAAGTGACACTTTAACGGTTTTAGCCCACGATACAAATCACGTCCGAATAAAGGAAATCCCTCCACGAACACAGAATGAAAACACCTCCAAACTAACAGAGCTTCAGTTCAAACTCCGCAGACACAAGGACACCGTATATTAATAATACAAGCTCCAACTGTTTCTGTCTTGGAGGAAACTGAACAGACTCGAAGTGAAATGAGAGGCGGATTAAAAAGAAAAACAAGTCTCCCGTGTTGAGTAGTTACTAACCAGTTCCTCCCAGGCAGGGCTGCGGGTGTAACGGTAGACGTCCTCCATAGTCCCGGACCTGTGTGTGTGTCCGCTCCGGGGAGAAAAGAACCGAAATGAGGGAGAGGTGGAGGAATTCACGGCCGGCCTCGCTGCCCTCACACCGCGCTGAGAAGACGGGATTTAATTCGCCTCGTCCTCCCTCCACTACTACTACAACCACCACACCTCCACCACACTGCCCCCCCCCTCCCGCTCGCTCCGTCTCCCTCCGCTCGGCTCCTTCCAGGGCCGAGCCCGTCAGCGCTCCACGTGATAAATGTCAAACCCGCTCAAACGCGCGCGCGTGCGAGAGAGAGTGTGAGAGAGAGAGAGAGAGAGAGAGAGCAGCTCCACAACGGTTTGTCCCGAGGAGGGAAGCTATATGTGTGCGCGCGTGCACGTGAGTGGGTCTACTGGGAATGCGAGTGGAGTTCAAATGACGTCATCGACTTATCCACTGTCTTTCTAAATCTAATTAATGAGATGATAGATTTTCACCAATGACTCCTCATCTGATTTAATGAGTTTATTCAGCCACTAAACACTTTCTTTGAACGTAAAGACCAACACACATTTATTAATTAATTCATTTATACATTTATTTATTATGATAATTATATTTTGTTTGTTTGTTGTTTGTTTTTAGGCTGTTTGACTGTAATTGTGTTCTTTTAAAGCAACATTTATTGTTATTAAATGTGTTCAAGACCAACACTGAAAATAAATTCTATTGTATTCTATTCTATTCTACCGGAACAGAAAATAATAATAATAATAATAATTATAATAGTAATAATGATGATGATGATAATAATAATAATGAAATGTGTGTTTTGGATCAGAGTCATAATTATATTTACAGTATAATGGATGTATTAAGAGAAGGGTGAGGTCATAAGGAGACGATAATAGAACAGAACCATTGAATTCATACAAAATATAAACATGAATCATAATATAGACATCTACTCTGGTGCATGATATAACCTACGAGTTTGTTAGGTTGATTTTATTCTAACTCAAACATACACTGGCGTGTAATGTAACATTTTTAAGTGTTAGATAAACATGATGTGTAAATAGTGTCTCAATATTATTTCTAAACTGACTGAGTCTTGAAGCCACTTACACAGAAAGGTTACAGCTTAAAATTCAAACATATAAAGAATCAAATATCATTCAAAACCTTTATTTTACTATTTTATTCACTTTAGCAAAGCAACGCTTTATATTTACAGTCACAAAACGATGTTATTAATGTAAAAACTAAGTCGGAACCAAAGGGACGTTTATATACAAACCACTACGGAAGACTTTAGTTCCGGACTACTTTTTCCCTCTTTTATTATCTTCCCTCTCCGACAACATGAGCTGACAGTTGTTATGAAATGGGAGTGAGGCCGGGCAGGACATAGATGTATAAGAAGCTCCTGGACTTTATATAATATTATGTTTTATGTTGTAGCAGAATAATTTAAAAATGCACAGTCAGATTTTGTGTCGCGGCACCGCGGCGGTCGTCGCTGCGAGGAGGATGCGGAATATCTTGGGCTGTGTCCTGGGAAGAGACGGCTGGATGTGGAGAACCCGTGAGGTCAAACTTCTCAACACGTCCTCAGGTAACCCGCCTGTTACAGTCAGTTAAAACCAGCTATAACAGAGACAGAGAGCGAATTTTAAAGCTAATTTTCAACCGGAAACAGAACTTCTCTGCTTGTGGTAACACAGCTAGCTTGATAAATAGTTAGCTCTCATTTGCGGACAGCAGTGAAACTGGTTGAAAAGTGATAAAATGATGATTTCTAGCTGAACACAATGAGCTGACAAGTGTGTGATTTAACATGTGACGTGACTTTGGACTGAGAATGTGAACAGCACGTTTTTTAGCTAATGGGTGAAAGGTTAAAACCAGTCATTCAACCATGTCAAGCCACTTTACTGCCACTAAAAACCTAATGGTACAGGTAGCTACATTTGATTCATTTTCTGATAAGGTGAATAAATCATAAGGCAATCACATCCAATAGGCTGTTTGACCACTGCTCTTATGGAAAATGGGCTGCAGGACACACAATCCAGTTATAAACTCATTATCAATATTTACAACTGCAAATGAAAGAAAGAAGAAATAAACTTTGTAGGTTGTTTTTTATCAACACTTCCTGTTGATTTGAAGACGTTTTCACTTTGTTTAAAGACAATTTTCTCAGTGTAGAACTGAAAGTATACAAAGTTTATTCATACAACTTAATATTATTACATATCGTTATATACAACTACAATGATTGTAAATTGTGTTATACAAAAAGAGCAAGTATATGTTTGGCTGCCATGTTTGTTTGGTTAAGAAACTGTTGCATCTTAGTAAACAAAGGTTGTTGGCCTTTCTAACAGCAACATTTTGACTCATCACACTAGGAAAAGCAAAGTTTAAACTAATAAAACTAGTGATGGTGAGACGGCGAGACAGCGTGTTTATTACCACGACCCTGAAACTGAAGCAGCTGAGTACAATAGAGGGATTTAGAAGCTTATTCAGAACAGCAGATAAAACACCTTTAATGAGTTTTCAAACAGATCAATGCAAAAGTCTCAAATCTAAAGATGATTGTCACATGAGAGGCACAAACCAGAGCTATTCATCAGCAAGCAGTCAATTAGTCACCTGTGTGGAAGTTATCAGTAGAATCTGATAATGTACTGTCCTGATTTTGACTGGCACAGTCTGTCAGACCCTCATATATTTGTTACACAATCTTTTTGCAGGTGACACAGTGAAGATCGGAGAGATCACCTACAAACTCAAAACACCCCGGAACCCAGAACTCGTTCCTGTCAAACACAGTATGTAGTTTTCTATCTGAGAGACGTGTGGAATGAGAGGAAGGCGGAGGCAGAAGTTACTAAAGCTTTATTTTGTTTTTTCTAGTTTCAGACTCACTGCCGCAGACAGTGGCTCAGCACCTACGGTGGATCATGCAGAAAGACCTTTTGGGCCAGGACGTGTTTCTCATTGGTCCTCCAGGACCCCTGAGACGATCCATAGCGATGCAGTACCTTTGTGAGTACACACACACAACCACACACCACACATACACACACACACACACACCACACACACCACACACACACACACACACACACACACACACACACACACACACACACACACACACACACACACACACACACAGACAAGGCAGAACTGTGAAGTATTTGGAAAACTAATTTAAAACTATTACAAACCCCGTCATTGAATATGATTTCAGTAGTTTATCAGTGCTCATTGGACACAGTGTGTTACAGAGTTGTATGAAGGCGTGTAAAATTGTTGTCAAGAAATTAAAAATTTAGAATTGAATAAAATTGCACCTAAAATATATAATATAACATAATACAATAATACATATTGTATCTTATATTCCTGTCCTCATGGATGTTTGCTTTAGATGTGTAGAACATGTACAGACTCTTCTTGTAATGAATATTTGTTATTAATGTCTTACTCTTATTCTTTTTCTTTTTTTTCTCCATGTGTTAATATTAATTAGACTCATAAAGTTTTTCTGGCAAATGATCTTAATGATCATTTTTCATAAAGGTGCATCAGATGAGTGAATGTAACAAAGTTAGCTGAGCTGCTACATGATGAAAACTCTGCAGTCAGTGTATGAACATGAATTAACAGCCATCACAACTGGATATCTGAATTACATCATCATCGTTTATTTAGTTCATGTAATGTGATTGTACAACTGGTTTTATATTGAAACAACATCGGCCTTTAACTTTTGAGAGGACTCCTGAAACGCTGTGTGAAGCCGAGTCTTTCCTTGTCGTTGAGCAGGAGTTGACCAAACGGGAGGTGGAGTACGTGGCTCTGTCCAGAGACACCACAGAGACGGACCTCAAGCAGAGGAGAGAGATCCGCTCAGGGACGGCCTTCTACATAGACCAGGTAAATCCCCCAAGAGCTTATAGTTTTACTCAGGGGTGAAGAGGTAGTAGAGGTGGAAGGGGGACTCTGCCCGGCCCACGCTCAAGGAGTGAGGTGAAGAGGTGATTGTGTTGAAGGCAGAGCTGTAATAGTGATAGTGCAGAGTGGATATCACGTCCTCCGTTGATCTATTAGCCCGGAAAGTGTACTGGTGCTGATGGAGTACAAGTGGAAGAGGTTTTTTAATGTGAGAGAAAACTCTGAAAACACTTCCTGATGACGGGTGTGACTGATTGGACGGCTGACTGTTTTGGGAGAGGGATGATAGTGGTAGACCTCAGCCATGTGGAGACAAGAGCCTGTCTGTAAAGACCTCGCTAGCTGCTCCGCTGATGCTCTGAGTGCATGTTTAATATGTGCCATCACTACATGAAAAACCTATGGAAATATTGAAATCACAAATGGCGTGGAACATTAGAACAAACATTAACATACAGACAAAAAATCAACATGACTGTGATTGCTTAAAAGTCTACAGCGTTGCTTGTCGACTGAATTCCAACCAAATGAACTTCATGTATCCGTTAACTGAGCTGGAAACGCCTTTAAACTCCTGATATATAGGAATGGTGCTGCCCCCGTTTCAAGTGATTCTCCTCCACCTTATCAAACAGCCACAGAGACGACGCTGGTGCAGAGCCTCTGTCCTAACATGAGGACGGTCTGGACCCAGTCAGCAGGACGTGGATTCAGGTCACCCAGAATAAACAGACTGGGGGAGAAGGGGATATGTAGGCTGCTAATTTTTATTCCTCACGCTGGCGTCAGAGCTGCAGACATACTGTTTTCTAGTTGTACATCCGGAAATCTGAGTAACACCTTGAGAACTTCTTCAGATGTTTAATTTCAAAAGTTCACCTGGACTCAGGGACAAACTGATTAGATTTTGTTGGTCACAGCAATTTATGAGAAAATTTCACACAAAAGTTTAATATTTTCTCTGACTATGGTTAGACCTGGAACTAGTCTGAGTGGAGGAGGGATACGACCATGAGGAGGTGATTCTAGTTTCTATGATGATGTGTATGGCGGACCAGAGCATGTGTACTAGAGTACCATCTTCATCATGACACCTCCAGCACTCCTGGAGAGTAGACTCTATTCATTTCCTCTATTTTAAATTAAATACCATTAAACCCCCCCCCCCCTTATTCACTCCACTCTGTTCCCTCCCATGCCACTTTCTGATCGATCAAGCTTTAGGCAAACGTACACCCCCACACTCTGCTGACTTTGTATGTCAGGTAACCATGGAGACCAGCAGTTCCTCATTATCAAGGCTGGTTTCTCTGAGGAGAACTTTCTGTCTCATGGGTGCAGAAAAACAATTATATGTATATGTTGAAAAAACTAAAAACAAAATCCTCATAAGACCATTAAACCCTGTCACTGGGCTTCCAGGAGCCAGCAGTGACAAATGAGGATAAGCTGTGATAATTAACATTTACTCAGTCATGTCATTATCCACGGCTAATTAGCACACGGCTTCATCTGTGTTAAAAAATAAATCGGTTGCATAACAGTTCAAACATCAACTCCATGGAAACAGGGAGAAGTTTTTCCTGTTTTATTCTCAGCACATTTATCCCGTGCACTTCACTCACAAAGCTGGTCTTCTGGAACAGAGAAAAAAACTCACGCCTAATTAGTTTGAGCTTCTTATAATTAGACTGAAGCTGGAAACTGGGAGTTCAGTTACTGTAGAGCGTCACTCCACTCTCCTCAGTGGGTTAGTGGGAACTGAGGACGGTGGTTTTCTATGAATGTGTAAATTTCCTCAGTGGATGAATCAAAAGTGCTGCACGCAGTGTGGAAACCTCAGCTTACTGACTGGTTTTATTATTTTATAGGAAGTGAAGTTCCTCTGAGCCTCTCTTCTGATTGGCTGACTGTTTTCTGAGTGATCCAATAAAAATAAAGCAGATTTCAGGTAAAAACACTCAGAGAAACCAAATCCTGCAAGGTTTGGATGGTGGGTCCAGGTGGGCGGGGCTTGGTGACTGCTTTGTTGTGACATCACAAAGTTCCAGAAGTCCTGACGGCTGGTTTTAAGGCTCAGTTTCTGAATACAGGCTGTGTGC